CCCTACATATTGCACAAAAAGGTTCATAATAATTGCAGTATTTTAATAAGATATTCATATAGCAAGACATGAAGAAAATATGGTATTTAATAACCTCTGGAGTATTTTAAAACATGTCTTAGGGCCTTAATGTGCCTAGTAATATACTATTTAAAACCATAATTTTATCCCTCCACAATATACAGTCATTCTTCCTCGCCATTTACCCAGCTAATGAATGCCAGCAATTAGTAAAATGTAATCCCATTGCACAATCATTTTAATGCTTTTAGCACTCAGAAAAGTAAACACCAAATTAATACTGCTCAAGCCATATCAGATCCTAGTTGGAAGCAAGCAATTATAGTTCAGCTCCTCAGGTGTAATTAAATGATTGGAATGATTTAGTTCCATAAATGCAAGTTAATTCATAAGCAAGCAACAAATATACTGGGAGTAATTACAAGAAACATTGACAGTCTAAGCAGGGCATGGGCCTTCATGTACCTGAGGTAGGAAAATGCTGCCCTCTCCTGGAACAACAGACTGCGGCACAGGAATAACTGGAGACAGAAGTCAAGAAGCTCATTTTACAGACTTCGTTTTCATAGGTGAAACGTGTTCTGCTAATTAATAGGAATTTTCTGCTTTACACATACTGAAAATAAAAACTTTGTTGATATTACACTAAGGCAACCTATCGATCAAACTCAAAGAGAAAGACCTTTTGGAGCTCCCTAGGGTTTGGAGTATACTTTCCCTATTATTAGAAATAAAAATGTTAGTAAACAGAATAACGAATTATTCCATACACTAATTATGGAAATCGGTTGTTCTGAACACAACACTGCAATAGGTATCTAACTTACACACTCAACATGTACCTTTACAGTAGGTACTTTGAACATAAGGTATTTTCAGAACCAAAACTTAACTGAACCATCATTATTCAAACAGTGCAAAACCTTGCCACGTCAACAACAATCAGAAGCTGGCCACGAAGGTTTTCCCAGAAGGAATAGTCAGAAAAATTAAATACAATTATTTTAAAGCTTTCTTTACTTTTATTTGAAGACAATCTGTTAATAATCAATTTGTCTAATAATAAAAATAAATTAAAGCTGGAGATTAAAACAAAGTATACTGGTAGACTGAGACAAAACTGAAAATAGAGAATGAAACTGTAACCCAAAACCTAGAGTTAATTTTAAATCTAGAGTTAACTGCCTTATTCACTATCTATTTATTCAACCAGTGTTAGTGTTAAGACTACTACTTGAACATCATGCAAAGAAAGCTCAAAAAAAATTAAATTGTCCTTATCTGTTGAATATAATATGCAATAGCCACGTAAAATTCACACTAAATATTTAAGTACAAAACCATCTAGAAATATGCATATAAATTAACCAGTATCTTCCTACTAATGAAAGAAATCCCAGATGTGCCTATTTTGCCCTCTACTGAAATAACAAATGCTTCCCAGTGCTGCGTATAGCAGCATGGGAGAAAAATTACACGCTGTGGTCAGTATATGACTATTTTCCACACAGAGAAGCTGACTGTAAGAAAGCTCGATTCAAAAGCACCTGACCACTGTAAAAGCCTGAAATTGTTCCTCACCAATAGCACTTTGGCATCAAAATATTTCTTTGTTCCAGACCTTGGTGTATTTCAGAACAAACCCAAGCTGTACACAATACCTTCACTGTTACCTTACATACTGTGGAAATGAAATAATTTATTTTAAGAAGTCGTATTATTAAAAGTTTAAAATGTACAGCACATTTACTTTGCCCTTTGATGTCACAGTCCTATTTTTCTATTCAAATCTTGTACACCGTAAGTTAATTGCTTTTGGAAACTACTTATTATTCATGTAAAAATTAATGTGCCAATGTGTTTAAATCCTTTTAAATGACCATTCATGCATCTTTCTTCTTTAAGTACCAATGAAATCTGTCAAAGATATCAATGCAAGATGGTCTTAGAGAAAGTTCTAATAAAGATTTTTTCTGCTAACATAAGATTTTAATTTTCGTCAACTTTACTTAAATTCCATTAATTTTTTAAGCTGCTTTTAATAAATTCACAAGTAAAAAATTTTAGGCTCCATAGTCTGTCATTTGTGTTCCAGCTGACTTTATGAATATTAATAACAGTGTTATCCTGATTAAATAGGCTTCATATAAAATCCCTGTGAATCCTATAGCTCAGACATCTCATTTTTCCAACTCTTTATGAATTTGGATTCAGACATTAAACTGGAAAAAACCTTAAAAAACAGATTCAATGGTACATTCGTATACCCTTCAGCAAAAACATTAGATGTTCTAATGATTCAAATAATTAAAATTGATAGGACCACATATTGAGATTTCAGGCTTTCCGTAAACATGCAACATATTTTAACACTAATGAAAACATCAACACTTCACAGAACAAAGGATTAAGAATCTATTATAAAATAATAATAATGTCTGTCCTTATCCTTACACAACAGATGATATGATCTTAACTCTTCATACATGGAGTGCTGATTTGCAGAAGTATTTCCCAAAGAGAAAGAAATTAGTGTATGCTTAATTACATAAGCATACACATGAAATAATGAGTATTCTAGTTTAGCATGGGTGTCCAGTGAAAAACAGCATTAACTTTCAATTGGTTTATACTTCAGCAAAAACAACCTCTTCCTAAAGAATGTCAAATCAAAGTACACAGGAAATTTTAACATTATCCTACAAGACTCATGCAGTCACAGCTTCAAACTGTCAACTTTTTTCCATGCTTCTATGTTTGAATTATTTACATCTGACAGATAAAAATGGAAAACTAAGCTCACTACACTGCCTTCACGTTTTTATTTTATAGTGCTAACTAAAATTACTGTTTCCTCATTCATTCAGGGATATATTCTGCAAAGATGGCCATCAAAATATTTTACCTTCCAGTACCCTGAAATATGAATGGATTTTAGAAGAAAAAAAAGTCTAACCAAAAGGATGGCATTCCAGTCCCAGCTCTAATTACTCATCAACACAAATATTTAGTAGGAATGAAATAAAAACCAAGAGGTATATAAAAATAACATCCATCTGCATGGTCAGAAGCATAGAGTGCTTTACTTATGCAGTAGTGAATAGCTTTTATCACAGCTGTGGCAGTATTTCCGCTTTCAGAGGAAAAATCCTTCGAAGTGTCTGCAGAATACATATTCTTATACAAGGGAGCACTCCAAAATAACACCAACAGTGATGTTGACCCAAGATATTCAGATCAGTGATAGTCCATTGTAGCTGCCAACACTTTCCCTTCCTGGGCAGGAGATTGGGAAGTTCATCTTCGAAGCTGGAGCTCAGTTACTAACTCCTCTTCCCCAGGAACCGAAAGGCTGTTTAGACCCTTCCACGTGGAGCCCTGATGACTGCAAACCCCCTTTCCTTGGTCTTGCCTTGACAAGTTTTGAAGACAACTACTGAATCACGGCCTTAGCTTCTGCGACAGGAAGCAAATGCTTGCTGGTGCTGACCGAATTCACCTCTTCTTCACAAAAAGTCCTCAGGTCTTAGGAGAGTTTTTCCACAAGGAGGGCTACCCTGCTTACCCTGCCTCCGCTGGGACAAGAGATCAGTTCCCACCACCCCTTGGAACAGCATCGAGCCAGTTTTGTCCCCTTTAATGACAGAGTTGACAGTTGCCATTGACAGGGCAGGGATGCAGCTAGGTAAGGGAGGGCACACCATACACTTTATGGGTAGGGAAATAAAGAACGAATGTTAGTATTATTTTCGTAAGATTAATTGGATTACCAGGATCTTCTAAAATATCCTGAAACGTTTTGCCTCAGGGTAAGTTAAACTAAAAAACTTAGTTTAGGATGGTGCACTACATAAAAAACAGTTACCTTCTAGAAATATTTCCCTAGGGAACAAACAGTTTTCTTCGCACAGGTGGATGCCAAGTTTTGATGCAATGATACACTCCTCCACAAAAGAGTCACATTTCCTCTCTACCTTAAGAAATTTTATGGCAAATCAGAAATCTAAGACAACCCAAAATAAGTTAAAATTAGCTTTGGGCAGTTATAAAAATACTAGTCAAAAAATAACTGAAATAGCCACTTCAAATATTTCTCAAATGCGGAATAAACCCCATCTGTTAGATATTTGAAAACTGTGAAATGAAACATACTTTGATATTTGATTACAGAGGTACTTATTTTATTGTACTCTATTACATTTATATGCTTTCAAACACAAGCAGTTCATGCAAAGTAGTCTGTTCCTTTTTAAAAGAATATAAAACATAGGCAAGCGGATTAACCCTGTAAGTGGATGAATGCAGCACAAGTACTATTTCAAATTGAAAACTCCAGCACTGCTACAAAGACTTACAAGATTTGGTTTATAGAAGTAACTGCATTACCTGGAAGCTTGGGAAAAATGTTTTCCCAGAGGGCAGAGTCATGTAATAATCCCTGGCTTTTCTCCCCTACTGATTCTTGGCCCAAAAGGAGATGAGACATTTGCAGCTGGTTCCAACTAACCTGCATAAATCAGAAAAGACACAGAGAGCCAGGGCTCAGGCATTTTGACTCTGTTGCTGCAGCAGCTTCTTCACATTCTCATTAAAGAATTTGCATTTGATGCTTTTAATGATGGCATACACTAAGTCAGAGAGCGCTCATTCTCTATGTCATGCTTTCGACAAAGGAAAGAGAGAAGACATAAACATGCAGTTTCAACAGGTTTACAATAGGTTTTACCTATTCCTGAATTAAATTTAATTTCATAAAGGACCTGTATTT